CAATTCCACTGCTAAATATATATCCAAAAGAATTGAAAACAGATACTCAAACAAGTACATGTACATGCATGTTCCTAGCAACACTATTCACAATAACCAAAAGGTGAAAACAGCCCACATGTCTAGCATGGGATGAATGGATGAACAAATTGTGGTAAATATATATAATGAAATATTAGTCAGCCATGAAAAGGAATGGCATACTCATACATGGTACAATGTGGACAAACTTTTAAAAAATGTTCTAATAAGTGAAAGAAGCCACACACAAACATTTACATATTTTATAATTCTATGAAATATCCAGAATAGATAAACTATAGAGACAGAATGCAGATTGATGGTTGCCAGGGGAGGGGGATGAGGAAAAATGGCTTAATGGGTAAAGGTTTTCACTTTGGAGTAAGGGGAATGTTTTGGAACTAGATAGAAATGGTAGTTGCACAACATTGTGAATGTACTAAATGTCACCAAATTGTTCACTTTAAAATGGTTAATTTTATGTTATGTAAATTTCACCTCAATAAATTATTCTTTAAAAGTAAAATTAGGGGCTAGACCCGTGGCATGGTGGTTAAGCTTGGTGCACTCCGCTTCAGCAGCCCAGGTTTGTGGTTTGGATGCTGGGCACAGACCTGCACCACTTGTCAGCCATGCTGTGGTGGTAACCCACATAAAAAGTAGAGGAAGACTGGCACAGACGTTAGCTCAGGGCGACTCTTCCTCAGCAAAAAAAATAAAAATAAAAAAATAATAAATTAAACAATTAAAAATAATATAGTGCTCTGGAAAAAACTTCGATAAGTACACAGTTTATCCCTGCAAGGAACCTGCTAAATCAGTTAATTCACACCCCTCATTTCTGTAGTTACGGAAACTTTGCCCAAAGTCAGGAATAGAGCAAATGTCTTCGAACTGTTCATTTTGCTTTCCTTGTTCTTCAGCCTTTATTTTAGGACGAAAGATAATGGACCTTATGTTTTGAACAACCTATAAACGCTTTCTCTCCTGGAAAAACTGCAGAGAGGAAGTTTCAACGTCCTCTTCAGACTTAAGAATACAGATTCACCACTCACTCCGTCAGTTCATCAGGGACTCACCCGAAAGTGACTAATTTGAGTCAACAGTTTTAATGTTTCACAGTCAACTCTTCTTTACTGATGCAGATGTTTAGGTGATCCTCCTTGATGGAGGTAAAACAACAATAACAAAACGAATTATCTCCATTTGGTTTCAGAATGTCTTTTGGTCTAGATAATGCCCAAGGCATTTACTTCAAACAAACAAATAAAGCCAGTCCACAATACTCTCCCTCGACCCTCCCTCCCCCAGAGTCCTTCTCTGGTTTTCCGTTCTCTCTCCCTCATCCTCTGCCTCCCTCAACCCCACCCTGAATTCTGGGAAGCCACGGTGACAGATCTGAAGAGTGTAACTAGTTTCCTTTCTAAACAATGTTCTTTTTCTTGGATTTTCTTCATCTTTTCCATTTCTCTAGCTCTTCATTGATTATTCAAACATATCCATGAACATGGATTTTATTAAATTCCTTTAATCATAAAAGCATTATAAAATTAAAAGCATAATTATAAAACAGTATAAAGATAAAAATATATTTCTTTAATTTAAAAAAAAACCAACCCTTTCTTTTCAAGAAGTTTGTTCTTCCATAAGTTGGAATCTAATACCGAGTGTGACTTAATCAATTGGCAATTCTTTTTGAAAACTATCCTCTTAATGAGTAATTCCTTAAATCTATTTGAAGGCATTTTAACACCAGGTCAGAGGGAATCTAATAACAGTTATTCACATTCTCACTTGAGTGGTACTTTTTAATATGGTACCTATGGGATCTCAGGAGATGTACAACAGAGCTTCCACACAGCACTGCAAATGCACAAAAAAGTTAGCTTGGGGGCACTCGCTTTCCTATGCATTGAATATTTGTGTCTCCCCCAAGATTTCTATGTTGCAGCCTAATCCCCAATGTGATGGTATTTGGAGGTGAGGCTTTGGGAGATGATTAGGTCATGAGAGAGGGGCCCTGATGACAAGATTGGTGCCCTTAGAACGAGAGACACTAGAGATGATCTCTCTCTCCACCGCGTGAAGACACAGCAAGAAGGCAGCTGTCTGCAAACCAGGAAGAGAGTTCTCGCCCCAAACCCAACCATGCTGGTACCCTGGTCTCGGGCTTCCAGCCTCCAGAACTGTAAGAAATAAATGTTTCTTGTTTAAGCCATCCAGTTTATGGTATTTTTGTCATAGCAGCCCAAACTGACTAAGACACGCCTTTTGAAAATTTTTTTTAAAAAGTCTTCTTTAACCCCAGTATGATGAATCTCTAAGAGCTACTAAATAAAGTTTTTGTCAGCTGTCCCCAAGGAATATTTTTGCCTCATGAAGAGCCAAGACACTAGAAAAGGAAACAAGTTTCTTAAAGGAACAGAGAAGAGTTCTTTGCATACTTGTTGTCTTCACAATAACAAGTAAAATTCTTCTAAGAAGAATGAGGAGCTGAAAGTTTACTTTTCTTCCTTGATCCTTGCCAAAAACATGACATTTCTCAAGCATCCTCTTCACAGAGACATTCTCTTGTTAGATAATTATGCAAGATATGCCAGAAAAGAAACATCTGCTTTCCACATTTGGGCCCACTGTAGCTGGTTTCGCAACATAAACCTCAATCTAAGGCCAAATTGTTGTAATAATACAGTCCCCGGAACAACCCACATGGCTGCGGCATTGAATGAATTGGGGGGGAAAAATACTGAAACAATTCTAGGATGTAGCCTTAAGTGACATTATATATCAAACAAAGAAAAAAAGCCAATTTTTCCACAAGCAAGATTCTACTCAAAAGAAACCAGGAACAATTTCAGAAGCTGAGAATAATCCACAGACATCCTGGTTTACTCTACTATAATTGACAAGGTCTGTGGAAAAGAGAATGATTACGCGTGACAACAAAGAACTTGATTTTTATTCAGTCTGTAAGAGAAAAAACAAACAACAACTTTAATAAATATTAATTGAGAATTGTATTAGTCTTCTAGAGTTGCCCAACAAAACACTGCAGATTGGGTGGCTTAAACAACAGAAATTTATTTTCTCACAGTTGTGGAGGCTGCAAGTCAGAGATCAAGGTGTCAGGAGGTTTGGGTTCTTCTGAGATTTCTTTCCTTGTAGATGGCCATCTTCTCCCTGTGTCTTCTCAGGGCTTCCCTCTATGTCTGTGTCCTAACCTCTTCTTCTTATAAAGATATCAGTTGGGTTAGAGCCCACTCTAATGGTCTCATTTTAACTTGATTAACTCTTTAAAGTTCTATCTCCAAATACAGTCACATTCTGAGGTACTGGAGGTTAGAACTTTAACATATGAATTTTGGGGGAAGACAATTCAGCCCATGAGATGTACTACGAGGTGCCAGGCACTGAGTACAAACTGACTAGCATTAAAGAACAGGAAGCTCAGTCTTAATTGGTTCATTTTCTACAGAAACACCAATCTGAAAAGAAATGAAGAACTATCTTTGCCTTAGGAGAAAGGAAGTGGCAAATGGGGCTCTGGAATATTCAAAAGAGGGAGCTGTTCTGCCTGCTGTGAATGAGATCTTCCAAAGGAAGCTCATTCAAGGAACACCAGTGGTCATGCACTCAGCCACACATGCACACACACACTCACACAGGCCTCCAGGGTGGCTGGCATGGGCTCTCCCTCCTGGCCAGCCCATCCCTCAACGGTGTGGCTACATTTCCAATATTCTTCTTTCAGATAGAGCCTCAGGACTCATTCTGCCAGGCAAGGGCATGTCGCTGGTTTGCTGATTCCAAGGGTCCTTCAGCACTGTGACAAGGTCCTTCTGGGAAATCTGGTTAATTGGGTTTGTACTTGGCAATAAGGAAGTCACGTCCCCTTCAAGAACACCTTCTCAAACTTCACCTCAGGCCTGAGATTGTGCTTCTCCTTGCAAGGAAATGAAAGTGTCGAAAATGCCCCACTCTTTTAGGGGATACAATATATCTTTTTAATGAAAAATTAGTTCTCTTCTAATTTGCAACTCAGAAGGCATATAATTGGGTTTACATACTCATAGCCGCTCTTTCTATTCTTTACAGAAATCTAAGAAGCTAAATGTTCTAGGCTTTCAAATGAGTCCTTTCTATCTGTAGGCACCATTCAATAGCCACAGTTTTTTCATCAGATACCTCTCATTTTATATCCTCTTGGTCCTCTACTGTATCTTTGATTTCTCTGTTGAGAATATCACTCATTTCTCAACTATTCTAGTACCACTTGTCATTTTTACTTGGATAAATTATATAATCTTTTCCTTTGATCAAGTATGTCAGAATATCATGGTGTCCTTACATACTAAGAAGCTGAGGACAGCATCACTCAGAGAAAAGTGGGTTGTCTGTGGAGCCAGCCTTGTAAGGTTAGTTTGCCTTTAGCTGGTGGTGGTTGTAGAACCAGGTCCCCATGCCTAAGGCAAGCCAAGCTCTACTTCTGGAGTCTTGGATCTGAATTTTCCAAGCCTATAAGTTGTCATAAGGCAGAGACAAGTGATGGAGCGGCCCACAGGGTGGTGCTTCAAGAATGAGAAGTGGAGCAGGCTCTGGGTGGCACGATGTCAGTATTAGAGAATAGGGGAGGGATGTTATCTCATTCAAGCTCAGAGAACAGGGAACAGCCCTTCTTGGAATACAAAAATCAGTGAACTTAAAAATGGATGCTAGCACATGCAGACAAGGTCATTTTGGCAACTCAGATATAATGCCAGGAGGAAAGCAAAGTCTGGGAAAGCTGTGGTTGGCATACACAAGAGATTGGAAAGAGAGAAGGTTAGATCGGGTTAGCTTGATCCTGTCAGGGAAGAAACTGAAGATTCAGGGGAAGACGGCTGGAGATGGAAATTTAAATGTTGGAAAGGAGAGCAAAGCTAAGCTAGAGTAAGGAAAGACCCATATCCTAGAAATTGCCCTGCTACTAGCTTCTTGTATTCTGGTTTTCATGCTGTCATAAAGCATTGTCTTGTACATGGCAGAGCAGGAACTTGGACCCAAGTTTCTCTGACTGCAGAACGTAAGACTCTGCTGTCCTGCTTCTAAGCATACCTGCACCATCTTTCTGATCTGCAGAGTAATGCACCTACCTATTAATAAAATAGAAATATGAGCTATGAATTGTTCCCAGAGAAGCTATGTTAATTCTGATAAAGTTAATTCATATGTCGGGACCCACAAAATGGAAGCTGCCCCAGTGGCCTGGCCCACATCACAAATGGCAACCTAATGGTATCCTGCACTTATGGTAAACACCTGTCAATGAAACCTAACGTACACCAATCACAATCTCCAACTCAGTTTTAGCTCACCTTACCCTAGAAACCTGCTAACCTTATAAGAAAATCCCCGATCTTCTTGTTTCCGTGTTGCCTCTTCTAAGGCTCTATAAAACTCGCTTTTGCCCAAACATCCTGAGGAAGAGTGCTTGCTGCCTGGGAGGCTCTGTACACCCCCAGTTCATGGATTGTTTTCCCTTGAAAAAAAGGACATCAAACTCATTACTAAATTGTTTTATTTTTGTCATCTGACAATTCCTAGTCAATCTTCTGTTATTTTTTAGTTGCTAATTTTTATCCATTTCTCAGAATTGCTTTTGGACTTAGTGCCTGCATTCCAGCTTTTACACAGGCTCCTTTGAAACCTGGGCAAATCAGCGAGCTTGCTGGGATGCCAGGCTGTTTTTTCTAATGCCTTCCTGTGCCCACCTCACTGGCAATGTCTAGGGTGGCAGAGCATGCATTTGATTTCCTAGGGACTTCCCTATACGTTTCAGTCTTTACCTCCTTTGAAAGTACCCACTATAGGATCATTGGAAATGTCCCAATGTTTCTGTCAACTCAAAATCTATTTGTTTAACCTTATTGATTAGCATTTAAATTGTCTACAGAGAAATTAAACAATCAGTTAGTCAAGTCCAGGGTTTATTATGATCTGCTTTTAGCTGAACATGATGTTCACTTGATGATAAGATCGTTTGAAGCCTAACCACTGTTTCTTGTGCCTCCCTGTTAGTCTTGTGTAAATGCTCAGAAAGAAGGCATCCATATCCTTCTGCCATGGTTGGACTTTGCTCCTCAAAAATGTCACTTCCATTCTTCTCTCCTCATATTTGCAGCTAAATTTTCTCCATAATGTTTCTACCCTCAGGTTTTTCCTACCAATTCAACTTGCCAACATAGTCCATAAGTCTCCCATTCCTTCTATTTAATCTGTATCTGTTGATCAAGGTAAATGCTTTTATTACCTAGGTACCAGTCACAAGTCCCATTCCAAGCCTTAATAATACCATAGCAGTGTATTTACGATATCCTCTTCAGTTTAAATGTATTTTTCTTCCTATTCCCTCTGCATAGATTTATATAGAGATACTTTTAATTATGACTGCTCTTTCCAAATTATTTTTCCCCCTCAGCAGGGCACTGTTCATTCACTGTAACTGAAAAGCCTTGGGCCAATGTTGAGAGTCTCTTCAGGTAGCAATTTAAGTTGTAATAGCCACAGGCCTGAGGAGGCATCTCCCTGGCCCTTCCACCTCAAATCACTCCTGTCATCACGTGTCCCCGGAGACTTCCTAACCCTTCCCTGGTGTGTCTCAACACCTCCAAAGGGTCACAACCTACAGCCTTTTGACAAGTCGTGGAGTGTAAGGAAAGGCAACGCTACTGGAAAAGCAATGATCTCTGTGAAGGGAGCAACTCAGCAAATCCACAACCTTTCTTCCCCCGGCTTTGTCTGGACCAGCCTCAGAAAGGCTCAGGCCTCAACTACCTCCAAATTATTTTCTTATTCATTCTTTTGGTTGAAAATTATCAGCATTTCCTATGCCTCATTTCTTCTCCCTGTCACCCCTGTTGACTTCCACAGTAACAGGCTTTATACTTTTATCTGAGTCTTTTTTCATTCCTCTCTCCAGCATCTCCACTTTTAGTCCTCTAAATCAAGATGATGAATCGTCTGCTGCCCGGAGCCCTCTGATACCCGACCCGCAAGTAGAAGCTCACTGTTCTGGTATCCTACACTGTCTGCCTGCGGACATCTGTGAGCCTGGGATGTGATGACACTGAAAACACAGGATGGGCTCCACCATCTGCAGCCATGTTTCTTCTCACAGGCGTAAACTGTTCACCTTCTACCACCCACAGGAAAAGTCGCAGACACAGACGGCCTGTCTTGGAGAACACCTGATACTCAGAATTTCTTATCTGGAATTATATTTTACAGGAATGAAAAAAAATACAGTGAAACACCTAAAGCTCTGAAAATGTATGCAGAGACCTCTATAAATACCAGACATGTTGTTTGCAGCACAATTTATTGTCTGGTCATAGTATTTGGGCACAATAATAAGTACTGATTGAACACCATGGTGACCTCTCTTGAGACAGAACCACCCAAAAAGAAAACTTCAGATGTGCAAGAGCAATAAATATCAAACTTCCTGATCTAAAATGTATAAATATAAAATATCAGTCATTTCTGAAAACATCTTAAGAAAATCTGGCAACCACATGTCCATAGGTAGGTGTCTGGTGTTGACGATGCTAATCTTCGGAACATGTCACCTCAGATCCAGCACGGTTATTTTTATGTCTTTTACCAACACATGTTTGCATATCTAGAAAAGAAAAAATTGGCTTTACACCACAACGTTTAACATGATTCTCTTTAGGAAGAAGGTACGAATTTCCCAATTTAAAAAGCTTCCGTATTTAAAAAAATATTTCCCATCAGAACAAATACAATCGGGTTTATTCATTTTCAACAGGAAAATATTTACAGAGGTTGCCAGGAAATTTTCATTTTAAATAAATTCTCACTTCAAAATAATGTTTCTCTGATGTGAAAGCCAGAGAACCACAAAGCAAGCAGTAAGAAAGAAAAGATGTAGTCAAATAATGTTTCTTTGGGGGCTACATGAAGCCGATCAAGACGTATGATTATAGTTTTCATTGAATTGTTATGAAAAAATTAATGTGGGCACATCAAGCAGAAATAATTCATGAAACATTTAATATAATTTTATTTAATAACTGTCTGCTTACTTGGAGTCTGCAGAAAACTGTGTTTCTTCAAGTATCACACAGATACAGAAATGGAAAGGTAATTTTATGCAGAATCAACTTTGCTACAGAAATACCGGTATTCCCTTATAAACAAAATAATAGTGAGAATAAATCAGAAGACTGATTAATTTTCTGGATAAGAAAACTCCAAACAAAGCAGCACAGTGTTTTAGTGTTTATCCCATATGACACCGCTAATAGTTCTCTCCTTAAAAAAAAAAAAAGAGGAAGTGAAATATAAATACCTGCAAAAAATAACCAACACTGTCTACTCACACTAAACAGCCTGGGGTCCTTGGTGTGCGGATGAAAGCCCTTCTTTTTACAAGCGGAAACCTCAAGCATGCCAGCATTGGTGAGCCTGAAGATGCCAGTGCTAAATTTCAGGGTGAAAAAGGTACAAAAAAAATTAAGGATCATTTGGACTTTCCAGATGCTTTATTAGAATGGTGCAAGCATACGTGTTCCTCAAACGGGATGGAGAAAGAAACCACAAACTAGGAACTCCACAGTGATTTTTTAGCCAATCTTTTGAGGATTGGCCTCAAAAAGAGAAACCCCAAGGAGCCAATGCTACCGCCAAGCACCTGCAGGACTGTAATGGGGAAGAAGCAACTGAACTGTTGCGTGAGACCACAGAGGAAAAGCCGAGACCCCGTGGGAGGAAATTACAGGTGGCAGATATTTCTAATTTTTCTAATCATGCTAATACTGTTCACAGCAACAGCAAATATTTATCGAGTGCTGGCAGTGGTGCCAGGCACTATGCTAAGCTCTTTACATAGACTCTTATCTAGTTCCACCCTCACATCAGTCTGTGATGGGCAGGTATCAGGGACGAAGAGACTGAGGCTCACAGTGGTCAGGGGTCCTGCTCAACACTCCACTGGAGGCTGGGGTTGAGATTCCAACATCAGTTTGTCTATCTCCTTTGCTTGTAATCATGCTACGATAATCATTGTCTCCCAAACCTGGAAAGGTTTTGGAGGTAATTAAGCTAAGGCTGGAAATTTTCTCACAATGGGAAATAATATGGTAGAACTAAGATCTCAAATGGCAAACTGCTATAACATACAATTTATCCACTTGAAGGTCATGCTAACTGAAGAAAGAGAACCCGAAATCCTAACACTGAAAGGGTCTTAAAAAGCAAGACAGGTATATGGGAGCCGGCTGTCACTAATCTCTTTTCCCCAAGGGCATGGTGTGTCTGCCTTTCCATGTGCCACAACCTGGTATGTGGACACACTTGAACTCAGCAGCCCCAGACAAAGCCTCACCCGGGCCCCTCCACGGTTTCACTTACTCTTTATGCTTTGGTGAACAAACAATGGCAATGGCCTCTGGCAACATGAGCTGATAGGAACAGTGAGTGTGAAGATCAACACTGGATAAGAACGCAGTTTGGGTTGGATGTGTCTATAAAAAGAAAAGCGGACAATCTTATTCGGGTAGCTGTCTTAGCCAAGACCACAGCCCATTCTAAGGGAAAACTCTAGTTAGTTGCTTTTTCTTTCTCACCATCATTAATACAGATTTTTAAAAATGTCTTGCTAACATAATCCTTCCCTTTGTGCATCTTTGGAATAACTACGATTTTGAGAAGAGGCTTGTGAGAGTATTCATGTAACTTCTGCTTTTTGGGAAAGACTGAACTGGAAATTTGCCAGAGGCTTTAAACAGATTCACATTTAATCATCATAACTCATTGAGCAGATACTTAGTACCTCAATTTTACATACAAGGATTCTGAGTCTCCTTTAAGTACTTGCCTGTGGTCACACAGCTGGTAAGGAGCAGAGTTGTAATTGGAAACCCAGAGATACTTTATATAAAACCATGGACACAAAAGCAAAGTTTCCACTAAATTTACCACACGTGTATCCTTTCATGGATTGCCATTCCCTATAAACGGGAGAATGGAACTCTCCAAATTGTTGAAGGTATTTTGAACTCATCTTTCACAGCAAGTAAATACCCACATCATGAGAAGGAAGGGGAGATTATAAATTAAAAGAAGTATTTTCCAGGTTTTTGGCTGTATACAAACTTGTGTTAATGAGTGACAAATCAGTGATTCACATTTGAATACGAAAACTACATGCACCCATAATGATTTTAAAATTTACAGTAAAACCCAATTATACTTGAAAACGGAATGTGACCATTTTAATCATGAAATCAAGGTCCTTGGGATGTCCTATGTGGGTCCTGGCTCTATCACTCACTAGGTGTATGACACTGCGAAGATTCTATAACCTCCTCATGCCCATTTCATCAACTGTAAAATAGGGACAATCATTTCTTCATGGGATTGTTATGAAAACGAAATGAGACAATCCGTGTAAAAGTCTTAGAAGAGTGCCTAGCCCAGAGAAAGGAATCAAAATCATAAGCTGCTATTATTACTGCTGCTGTCGTTATTTTAACGTTGTCATTGTTAACTAGAGGGCATAGGCCCATAGAAATAGCTTCATGACTTTACACATAACCATGGGCTATTAAAGAAATGCAAGATTTTAAAACTCCTTTCTACTTCATTTAACAGGATGAAGGTAAAATCTGTTGATACCTATTTACAGAAAGATACATGTTCTACAAGGAAAAAAATAACTCTTGGTCTGCAAAGACCTAGATCAACTGAGGAATGGAAATTATCGTAATTGTTAAAACCCAAATCTTTAGCGAGGGTATGAGTGGGAGATCTGACTGCCTGCTATTTGATTCAGTGCAAACCTTCGACTACTACACAGAGCCTTCTCCGCCTTGGTGAGAAGGGAAGTGTTCAGTGAAACTCTAGTGCTGTGGAGGCAGCAAGCAGAACATCAAACAGACAAATCTCTCTGCGTGTTAATTTATTTCCAGACTGAACACACACCAGAAGACATTCTGAGTCCTTCATTTCTGCCAAGAGGAATCACTTCTACTCCGATAAGGACAGCTCTCCCTTGGGAGAATGGTGCTCCCACCCCACCACCCACTCTATGGAAATAGAAATGATCATGCCAATGATGATGACAATAGCAGCACATGCCATTTATTGCAACTGAATAATGCGCCAGACTGAACTAATCAGTTTCCATGAATTATCTCATTGAATTCTTGCAAAAACAAGATGAGATAAGTGCTATTATCATCTCCATTTTACGGATGAGGAAAGTGAGCTTAACAGAAGAGTAAATAACATGCTGACGGTCACAGAGCTAGTTAAGCTGAGAAGTCTAAATTCAAATCCAGATCTGTCTGATTCTGATTCAGCCTGTCTTTCCTATGACTAATTTATACCTGGAAAAAAGTTAGCTCTGGAATTTGTTGCTATTATTATGCCAATAAAAATCATCACAAAAAGTCATTACAACCACTGAAGTTTAGAAATATAACATTTTAGTGTTTTCATTGAATCACAACAATTTGATATGGTAAAATAAATTAAACAAAAAGCAAAGTCCTGGAATTCTAGAATTATGCCAAATCCATTATTTGAATGATTTAACTTCATTATTGCATACATTATATACACAGGTCATAGGGAAAAACTTTTGTTTCTAATTTGGGAAACATTTTGTAAGATAAACCAACATTGATTTTTCTTTTTCTTTTTCTTTTTTAGGAAGATTAGCCTGAGCTAACTCTGCCAATTCCCCCCTTTTTGCTGAGGAAGACTGGCCTTGAGCTAACATCCATGCCCATCTTCCTCTGCTTTATATGTGGGACACCTATCACAGCATGGCTTGCCAAGTGGTGCATGTCCACACCCAGGATCCAAACCGGCAAACCCCAGGCCACTGAAGTGGAATGTGCGCACTTAACCGCTGCGTCACCGGGCCAGTCCCGTGACTTTTCAATGTAAGTGTAATTTAATGGACTGTCTTTCTTCCTCAATTTATGATACAATTTCTTTTGCTTTAAAATGCATTCTTGTTACAGAAAATCACATTAAACTAAATAATGCCTTTAAAATCCAGTAATTTCTAAGTAAACAGTAAGGCGCATTACTTACTGTTAAGTAAAACAAATAGACCTAAGGAAAGTTTGGAAAACTCATCATTATAAATAATTTCTGGCACTTGAGAGGTGGTTTATACTTTTCAAAGGGCTTTCACACTTAGTATCTTGTTTATGGCTCAGAGAAATTCAGTGAAGGAGAAAAGGTGTTCATTAGCCCCACCTTGGTCAGTGAAGGAACCTGAGACAAGGAGGTTAGGAGTTTGACCAGGGGCACATGGGAATTAACAGGTGGAGCTGGGACTAAACGCTCCCCTACCATCCTAAATTACACAACACCAGATGCTTGATTTTGTGTGAGGGGCGTGGGTGTGTCCTGCTCCTACTCAATACTTCTCTATAAAGTAAAATAAAAATGATCACTTATCACTCTTCGGGGCTCTTGGAGGTCCCCAGGATGTGCCCTGGAAATCTTGGGCAGTATCCCATGACAGCAGGATGACTTGTCCCTACCCCAGGCCCAGATGTGTGAGACTGAATGGAAAAATGTCCCTCAGATGGATTAAACCATGGATACGAAAAGTAGAGTAACATCATCAATAAAAATAGGTACGATTTTCTGAGTCCCAAGAAAAATGTGCTAAGAAATTCACTGACATTATCTCATTTAAAACTCACCATCACATGAAGGCCATTATTATGATCCCCATTTTTATGGATGATAAAGCTGATGCTCAGATTGCTTAAATAATTTGCCAACATTCCTAGAGAGAATTCTTGGCAAAGCCGAGCTTTAAACTCATGTCTTTTGATTGGAAGCCCTTTCCTGCCCTATGATAGCCTGGTGGATGCTGGAACCCAATGTTTTTGGCCCCGTTCTTTTGGCCCCACTCCATGGCTGTTTATACAACGATACATACATCCTTGGTCTGCAGGGGAGGTGCAGTGGAGCATATGGTCCCTATTTGATATGTACAAACACCTGTTTAAAACGAACTTTTTCAGAAATTTTCTTGAAATAATCTACTTTAGATCCACAGCAAAGCAAAAGAGAATATTAATAACCATCTAGTCAAATTAGTTAAAAATCTAACTAGGCCTCCATTAAACTATGTAAAATCACTGAAACAAGTCACCTAACTCCCAAATGTTTCTCTCTCTTCTAACTTTGGATGATAGAGAAAAGCATAATATACCCCTCTCCAAATCCAGATCTGACAGATTTAGACATGGCCTAACAGTGAAGAAAATGTTTTCATATGATGACATTTATTACACTTGAAAAAAATTTTAAAATAAGCAATTATTTAAATTAGGTTGCATTTCCTCAAGGAGGACAATGGCACACCACAAAAAATAAACTGAGACCCAAAAGGTCAAACGTACATGGATCCATCCCAGAGTGAGGAGATTGTATTGATCCTGAACACTGAATAATTCTTCTACATTCTCCATGTCACAATAGTCTGGTCCCGCAGACTGCTTTGGCACGATGACATGAGTAATAGTAAATTCATTATGAGTCTAAAAAACAATTAGCAGAAAAAGAATAATGAGAATTTGACAGGAAGAACAACAACTCTGAATAGAAGTACAGTGTTTTGCTACAAGTGCAATGTTTTACTACAAGACTGCCCCACCACTTGCATCAGGATCCTCCCACCTGATCACAATTCAAAAACAAAGCCCCAAACTTGAAAATGGATTATTTGCCAAAAATCTGAGCCAGTTGTTTGGACCTTGAAACTCATTTTCACAACAGAAAATGTACATAAATAGGAATTAGCATCCCAGGCTGGTCCACAGAAGTTTAGTTAATAAATAATGTCTTGATATATTGTATCTGTAATGGAAAAATCAGAAAAACACAACAGCAGGCTTATTTGGAGGGGGAGATACTCATTAAAAAATTTTGTGGTTTTACTGAAGGACACCTCTAAGGTTTGTTGATGGTCTTGTTTTTATTTTATTAATTATATTTAATTTCATTTCAAGACTTAGGACTTTCTTCTACTGGGGGGACTCACTGGGAGTTTTCATAATTAGGGTAATGTTTTGGATTTGCAATTAGATAAAGAGAAAGCATAAACAAATTACTCTCCTCGCATAAAAGATAAGAGTTGAAAGGAAGAAGGTTGTGAAGTGCTGGTAGGATCCTCAGGTAAGAGATGTCTGTGCTATGAGTGGCTGTCTATCCCTCCACAGCACCATGTTCTCTAGTCTGAGGGCTTTCCTGCAAACTGGGCACTCTTTCTCCAGCCTTGATTACAACTCTTCCCTCCATCCTACCTCCTCCTTTCATGGCTGACTTTACGTATTCTTCAGGCCTAGCATAAACACCACTTCTCAGGTAAGCCCTTCTTGACCCTGCCAGACAAGGCTTTCCCAGTTTCACATTCCCATGACATCTTGTGCTCCATTGACAGCACCCAGCCCCATTTATAATTAATCATCTGTCTGGTTCTTCACAAGCATCATGTAAGCATCATGTGGCAGGAACCCATGGCTGTTGTAGGTTACCGAATGTCAACACCTAGCACAGCGCCAGGCACAGACAGGTACTCTGTAAATGTCTGATGAAGGAATGAATGAATGAACAAATCAAACTAAGTACAACATATGGTCTTGGGGAAGAGGCATTGATAGCATACTGCCCCCTGAAGGGCAACTAAGGTGGTTGTGGGGAGGAGGGGGGAGATGGCAGGTCATTCTCCTATGCTTGTTATCCGAGCTTCCTCTCTCCTGGAGGAAAAGTGATGACGCCATACCAAAATACAATAGGTGAATGTGTGTTGAATGAAACATATTATTCAATTAACAGTTCTCGAGCTAAATAGTCAGGACTGAAAATGTGCCTAGACCCAGAAATATATAAACTGATACCCAAAAGAGACTATGAAAGGGCACTTTCAAAGAAACATTGTTCCTCTTTCTTGCAAGTCCGATTAAATGTATCCTCTCTGTTTTATCTCCCTCTATTTTGACATTGTCTTTCAACACATATTTCTGATAAAAATCTTCATACTTAAATATGACCCGGACTATAAGATTTCAGTTTGTTAAATTACTGCCTTAAACTAAAGAAAACAACAAAACTGTAGTTTTACTCCACGTGTACCTGAAAAAAGATGGCAAGATGATACCTGTCACTGATAAAAAAGGGTAGAATTAATTACATGAATATATGTGAAACTATCAGTTGCAATGGAAATTGATTCAGAAAATTAGATGGTTTTGGAAATCTGAAGACCTGTACTCCACTGTTTTTTAAACAAAGATTTAATATATGGTTAGATTAATTCTTTACAATAAGCTTTTACAGTATCCTTGAAACTTTGCAATCCATTTTCTAGAAGGATAATTCCGTAATAATAACAGTAGTTTCGTAAACTTAATCTATGTAAAGATAATTTCATAATATTTATAACTTTTAAGATGCTTTTATTCTGTTCTGCTTATTACTAGAAAGCCATTACTACTGAAAGTATCCTGTGCAGAGAGACATGAAGCAAAGATCATACCAGTTTTCCGCAAAGTATTCCACAGGTTTCTATGCCTCTCATTGTATTAGATTCTGCCAGCAGTAGAAATCTGTGGCAAAGATCTCTTGATAAAACTACACAGCGCAGTCCTTCAACCACTAAATCTAAGAAAGGGAAAAGAGAGAAAAACTCAAAAAACAAATCTTACATTCCATCCATCAAAGCTGTTTTTGGCAAGCAACTGCAGGTCAATATAAGTATGAAAAATAAAATTATTATCTGGTGCTCCATCTTCCATATTTTAAAATCCTAAAAGCAAACACTAACTAGAAAGAAGATAAAATTACACTTTGCATATAAATTATTTTATAAGCAAGTGGGAAGGCGCAAGCATTTTTATATCTTTGTGCCCTAGATCAACTATTTACATGTATGCGCGTTTTCTTTTGGCACAAAGCAAACACACTCTTAAAGCGTGCAGCCTGCATACACTACATCTCATAGCCTGTAAGATACAGGAAAAATACTCTTTATTATGTTTCCCATATGGTACTTTCATCTTTATGAAAGTTGATGATCATTAAGTAAAACCATTATGTTTTCAGAAATAATTAGCAGTAAAGTAATTTATAAAATGGTTCCCCATCATAACTCTTTTAAAATAAATGGAAACACAAACTCCATCTGACAGTGTCTGCCGGGAAGACTTTCCCATTGGCTCTGGAAACTTGCCAGGACTGATGCAGCAGTACGAAGCAGCACTAATTGTTGGCAAAAACACATAATCCATTTGGAGCTTAACTACCTGTGTGTACCAGATCCTCCTGAGCAGCGAAATGCTAAATATTTACATTTAAATTTTTGAGCAAAGGTCTGGACAAACAATTTTCTCAACATCTTCTTTCCTCTTCAGTATGTGTTTACCTTGAAGATTCATGTGTTTCTCAGTTAAATTACATGAAAAAAAATGATTGGAATTCTTCTCTTAAAATCTCTGTAGCATGACCAAATATAGCCTTGTTAATTAGAGAGTCTCTACTCTATCAGGGTACAAATCAGGTTTCCTGAATTTTAAGGTTACACATAGTAAAGCCAGATGGTACTGAAAGACTAGCTCTATCACTCACACCACATCACGTAGGGTCCTACGACAACTGATAACAAAATGAGAAGAACCCTCCCAGACGTACAGAAATACGGTTGCATGAGAAGAGATTCAATGTCTCGCTGGGTGCATTTCATCACTTACTCTGAACAGCACTTAGAGTAGCAGCTGGCTTTAAGGCCCTGTTTACGGGAGGAGAATGGCTAGCGTAATTGGTTGCATCACTTCTATTAGGTTGATCTGCAAATACATTCAGCAAGGAGTCATTCTGGTGTGCGGAAAAGCAGGACAAAGCGCTCCCATCAATCTGCTCCGATGGCGCTGGGGCTTCCTGGCTGCGCTGACCCCGGGCTAACTCTTGTTTCTTGAGCTGATCTTCAAAAAACAGAAACTGCTCCGATTCTATCTGCTGCTGGCGCATCTGAGCGATCCGCTTCCTTTCCGCCTCTATCAATCTCTGATGCTCCAGTTTTTTGAGAATTTCAGCTCTATATTTGTTCTAAAAAAATGCAGTGGCCAGAATAAAAGGTTAGCTTCCAAGGCAAAAATATCAAACTTTCAATCTTCTAGCAGACAGAGAGAGACAGCTAGATACTGCGATATGCCCACCAGTACACTCGTGACAGTAAGGAAAATATACATCATGGCAAAAGCCCCTTAATCTGATTAAGGCAGCATCTAAATCCACTCAGATTTTACCGGAGACAGGCCATGACAACCAAGTTCCCATCATTATCCCTGTGCTGTTAAATAGTGGAAAATCAAGGTCAATATTAGAACAAAATATCTCAGAAATGGTTATATCACCCTAGACTGCACTGTCCGCTAGCCCCATGTGGCTATTTAAATTTAAAATCAAACAAAATTAAATAAAATTAGAAATTCAGTTCCTCAGTTGTGCTAGCAACATTTCAGGTACCCACTGGCCACATGTGGCTAACGACTCCCATATCAGAGAGCATCAAACAGAACATTTCCATCATTATAAGAAGTTCTCTTGGACAGTGCTGCCCTAGAACCTTTGGCATTTGTCTCTAGAACTCATACTGCTGGAATTTTATGGAGAAGGGGGAATCGCTAAGAAATTGTTCTCAAAATGTGGTCTAATCATCTCTCTCAGAACAACCAGGAGTTTTGTTAAAAATGAAGATTCTCAAGCTCCCCAGTCTTAACGAAAATATCCAGGCATTATTAGATCAGAGAATATAAACCTTTAATAAGCTCCCCAAATGATTTTGATGAAAACTAGACTTGAGGAGCTACTCCAAGGTAGGGGTGGGGCTGAGGACACAGCTCACAGCAGCACTTCGATATGCACACGAATCGCCCTGTCTTGTCAAAGGGCAGATTCGGATTTAGCAGGTCTGGGGGGCCTGAGACTCTGCATTTCTAATAAGCTCCCAGATGATCCTGGTGCTGGCTGTAGCCGAGGGCTTACGGGTGTGTCTGTTCATCTCTTCTAGGCATAAAGGCTGCCATTCTATTCCCCCAGAGATCTCTGCATGTCATATACGTGGGATACTATTGTGGACTACGAAGTAACTGGTATCACCAAAGGCAAGCTGTGCAATAGCGGCTGAGGCCATTCCTCCCAGGGAGATCCAGAGGGAGTGACCATGCACATCGCTAAGAGCGGAAGGGAGACTTAACTGGGCTTTTCGCTCCCTTACTGTTGCTTTGTCTGAGCCTCCAGGATCATTTTTCTCTTTCACAGTTCAAATCAAATCATCAAGATCCACACTTGAGGGAATCTTCTGATTTCAACATTCCTTCTGTCACTTAGTCAAAACACCTCACTCACACCTGACTTCTAGCTACGCCCATGGAAAGTACAGAAGTTCTCTGACCATGTTCAGAGTTAATGAGACTAAACTGAAATGAGAGTCAGTAAAGGTGACAACTTCCAAAGCACATAAACACACAATCAAACAAAAAAAGCAAAACAAACTTTATAAGAATGCTACAAACATTAAGAATTCAAGTTTTGAACTTGAGGTCCTATAGACTAACTTGGTCGATTTCTTCTTTCAATGCTTTTCAGTCTGTTAGACATCATTATCATTTTCACTCTTCATTTAATAATCTAGGAACCACCACTTATTGGTGATATGATTACATTTCACTCATATGGTTAGCTATTATTCCATCTCAAAGTAATATTGACCATAATATTTAAGAATCAAATTCACATTTCCAAGGCCTACATAATTAGATACATCAGAAACCATATGCCACTCTCCTCCCTACCTCCTACTGCCTTTGTTCATCAGCAAAAAGCAGTCATCTGGCTCAAGGTCACATTGGCAAGAGTTGGTCAAAAAGCTCTTCTTAAACCACTGTAGGAAATCTATTTTCTAATGCATCACACTATTAGACAGTATAGGGAAATAAAAATACCACATCTTTGGTGCAAGTGCTTAACCTGGACATCAACATGAATTTTTAATTGGTTTACATCACTGCATCTTTAATTTTTAATTTAAATGCATATGACATTTGAAAAATTCATATGAAAATGAAATTTAAAAAATATTTGCACAGAAAACAGTCATGAAATAAATGTACCAGTTGAACTTACTTTGCTTTGCAAATATTCTTGGTATTCTACGTTATATTTCTTTAAAAGCTCCTTTTTCAATTCATCTGTCCTTGGGAATGCAATCTCCTTCAGTTTCTTTTAAAAATATATATATACATATTGATTAGTGGGATTTTCAGTATAGTCTTTCAGATCATCAGCTGAGAAAGAAAAACAGCTGGTACGTGTATTAGAAATCAAGACACAAGTAACCAAAGATGATGGTGGAAAAATAAATCTCTCTTTTCTAGGGCTCTAAAATATAACTTCGCAGTTAGGGAAGGGAAAAAATATCCCCTTTGTAAGACCTTTATTGACTCCACTGGTGACATAAGAGTTTCGTTTAGGTGGGTACCCCATTTTTAGGTAGTGAGTTTCTACCTGCACCTTCCACAGCATGTAAATGATACGCATCATAGTTAGAAGGAAGATCAGACAACATGGTAGGCAGGGACTCCTAGGCCTGACAGACTGTGAAAAGCACTGAGGGACTTCTTATAAAAATATAGATTCCCAGATCTACTGAATCAACATATTTAGAGAAGAGATTGGGGAATCTGGATCTCAAAACAACTTCTCAGTGATTCTTTTTTTTTTTTTGGTGAGAAAAATTGTCCCTGAGCTAACATCCATGGCCAATCTTCCTCTATTTTGTATGTGGGATGCTGCCACAGCATGGCTTGATAAGTGGTGCACAGGTCTGTGCCCAGCATCTGAACCTGCAAAGCCTGGGCTGCCAAAGTGGAGTGCGTGAACTTAACCACTACACCACTGGGCCAACCACCCCAGTGATTCTTAACGGCTGGGAAATCTGAGATAGTCCAAGGACCACCCACCTTTTTAGAGATGAGGAAACAGGCCTAGAAAAATTAGAATGCATGTCCGGCATCATACAACTAGCCAGTGACCCAGTTAGGACTAGAATCCAAGTCTCCTGACTCTAGGCAGGCTCTTCCGATAAAATTTCTGTTTTCTTAATCTTTTGTCATTCATTCATTCACCCTTGCATGCATGCATGCATCCATCTATCCATCCATCCGTTTATTCAATAAGCATAAACAAAGAAAATGTATATACCTTTGGAGAATTTTTTCCTACAACTAAAAATGTGAATAACCCTAAATTACAGTAAAAAAGTCACATTGGCAGCCTGGGACCTTTGGTTTCCATACAGAACTCGCTGAGGTTGAATAAACAAGAGAATTGAGTGGAAATGCTACACAAAGGCATGATAATGAAGGACAGTTCTGATTAAGTTGTAGAAAAATTAGAAAATGCAGATGATCATTTCACAAAATAAGTTCTACTTACAGGCCGCTGCAGGCGTGATATAACTGGTAAGAGAGTCTTTACTCCATTATATGGTTAATAATCTTTTGAGAGTTATTTAAAATTTCATGCTGTGATTGGCTTGTATATATAGTGTTTTCTCTTCCTTCATATAAGATTAACCCAAACTATTTAAGACAAATAAATTGGAAATATTTTTAAAATGTTATTTAAAAGGATATATTCTGAGCTAAAGATATTTTGTAACTATATATCCTGCAAATGTTGATGATGAATCAATACAATTCAACAATCTTCCTTCTCCTTGAGAATATTTCAGGCCGCCCCCTAAACACTTTATTATCTATCAGGCTAGTACCATAAGAAGAAAATTAGAGCTTTGTGGTTGCCTTAATAATCAATGCTCATTTTCAAATAGTTTTCGGGTTCAAGACTTTACGGAATAATCAAAACCAGCCCAAATGACTGTCTCACGTAAGTATGGGGAAATAGACAACCATTCCCTCCGTCTCTGGGAGGAATTGTGAAATAATTCCTTTTTCAAGCCTTAAGGTGATTGAGCACATTGTTGATCTTTTTATTCTCTTTTTTTCCCCCTAGTTTCAATAAGACATCCTACACTGGCTCAGTAATGATGATTAAAAGTCTAAGAAGAGATTGAAACATCATGGCTAATGGAATGAATTTTCTGTGCTTAAACTCTCAAGAGGATGAGACAGTGGAAAGGGGTGAATCAATAATGGATACTTGTGGAGCATTTGATCCCACAGGGGAGAATTGATCCCACAATACCTTCATAATATCCTGCTTTTCGGGTACCGCACATTGCTGGTAATCTCGGTGGCTGGGAAGCTTTTCTACAAACAAACTAGAGAAAGAGAAAACATGTCCTTAGCATCATATCACAGAAAAAGTTCAATGATGGGTTCTAATATGAGAATGAGCCTCCTTTCCAAAAGGGCATGTTTAATAATTTATTGAACCTGTATTCTTTCATCTGCCTTTCTATCAAAGGTTGGCACGAGTATGATTTTGGCATTACAGGGTAGTGAAGCTCAGCAAACTAAGCACTGAGGTTAAAGGGTTATGGTCAGGATGCTCCCTAAATAGACTACGTCGCTTTGGTCTTTCCAGGTCCTGGGCGCTTCACCCCACCAGAGCACCACCTTACTTATGAATCCTGCCGGCAACACAGAGGATCATGTAAAAATCTAAGAGTTTGGAGTGATCGATGTAACCCCTTCTCATCACTGAAAAGGACTCAAAGGATCACTGATGAATGAGTAGTGCCGTAGTGTATATATCAAAAACTCAAGTGAAAATTCATCACTAAGAGAAGAGAAACATAGCCAGAATCCCTACTGGATTAGGAGATAATTATTTTTCATCACCTTTTTGAGGAACAAAGGACAGCAGAAGAAAAGGGATATCCCTATAGCAAATCAGGTGTCCAGCCTGCAGAATAAGTGCTCAATAGGTATTTGTTAAATGAATGAATAGCCCTTCCTTGATAGATCATGACAGGCTGTAAATACTATTTTTGATCAACTAATATGCAATACCTTATAATTACTGATGTTCTGTTGTTTACAAATCACACATACATTCATCATCTCACCTACAGGGTACAGTGGAATGGCATCATAACGCGTTTCTCAAATTAGAAAATTAAGGCTTAAAGAGGCTACATAAGTTGTTAGTTACCTAAGGCTTTACAAATAGAATAAAGTCACAGACATTTAGAGTTGAAGAGACCTCGGATATTTTCATCCACAGTCTTTCATTTGTAGATGAGGAACTGAGATCCATGGAGAATAAGTGAATTATAAATTATCACATTGATAATGACAGAAGAGAATTCAAATATTCTGATTACACAGTAACTGAGAGGGTATGGTGGCCTTTCCCTTTTACACTTTTGATTCCACGGGAGTGTTTGCAAAACTCAAGCAGAAGGTGAAAAAGCACTATTATCAAGCGGTAACTTATAGTTCAGAAACTAAAATGGAAAATGTGTCCTATCAACGACAATTGATATCCTCTGATTTCATATTTATTGCTTAACTTTCTAGAAACAACTCATTTTCCCCACAAAGGATGTTTTCAACTATTCTTTCAATTTCCAAGAAGTTACTTTTAACTTGAACAAAATGCAGAACCCAATTTGTGTACCACGTAAACTGTTTTTAATTTCACCCTTGGTAGAATCAGGGGACGCAGTTTCTAAAATAGTTTGTCTTTTCAATTTCTCAAATGTTCTCAGGTTAAGACCTCAACTAACGAATGATGTTAATCAACACACAGCTTTCAATTAAAACAAAAATAAGAGGTTTACCTCAGATTAAATAATTATTGGTAACAGGAGAGCCTCCCAACCAGTAAGACAGCAAATTGGCAAGGAAAATCTAAATCCCATTTCTCTTAACTCTTAAACTAGGATTATGTTATTAATAAATATCTATCTAATGTGAAGTGCATTTTCACATGGCTGTTTTGATATAGTAGCCGCTTTCACTCAATATTTTAAAAGCTCTTTCACACATAGCATTCTTCCACAGCTAGATAAATGTCTTTTTTTAAAAAAATACTAACTACAATGTGAAACTGACTCCTACACCCTATCCCCAAATCAGATCCTTGCTGTGATTCTCTACATGTCCCCCAGTCTCAGCCCATCAAGTCAAATTTTAAAAATGTTCATGGCATGTTCCAGGTGCTATAGATGTGATCCCGACCCTGATATCAGTTTCCCTACATTAAACCCAGCATACATGGGATTAAAACCAAAACACTCATTCCCTGCTTACTCCCTGGCTTCCTGGCTCCAGAATCCACTATCCTCCATGGAGACAGACACGGCCAAGGACAAGCACCTGGATTCACTATGTCCTCCCGGCAAAGAGATACAGGCTGGTGGGAAAGCTGCTGACCAGCAAGGTCACGGGCTCCCTCCTCTCTGCAAGTAGTCTCAAGGGCAAAGACAGGTTGGTGGGAAAGCTCCCACCAGCAACGCCATATATTCCCCCTCCCCTACCTAAAACCCCAAATAAAAACTCTTCCTTTTAGCTTTTCAGAGAGTTTGGGATTTCAGTGTTAGCTACCCTCTCTCCTTGCTCAGCTCTGTGCAATAATAAAATTCTTACTTTCTTCCACTACCCCTGGTGTTAGAGATTGGCTTGCTGCACAGTGGGTGAGCGAACTCACTTCAGGTTCGATAACAGATGGAGCTGCAATAAGGCTCCTGCTCTCGTACAGCTTACATTCCTGTGCTGGGAGAATGACATGAAGCAAGAAATTTTATTTGTGAAGAATGTTAAAGGGACATGTAGGTTACTGTATTGGCCTATTGAGAAGTTATCTGATCCTCCTGGTCATCACCCCATCCCTGACCTTCTTCCCATCATCCCTAAGCCTCAGAGATGGTGTGGGGATGCCTTTGAGTACACACTTGGTAATTTAAAAACCTAGACATCTAATGCTTTGGGACACTGTAAAATTAGTCTGAACGTGAAAACATTCTTGTCATCCTATCTTACTGAAATACCATGTAAATATTTTTCCAATTTTCTCATTTCTCAGATCTCCAAAACAAAAGACTTACGTTATAAATTTATTATAAAGAACAAAGGCGTTTTCCAAGTTTCCTTCTTGAAGATACACCGAAGCCATCCTCTCCATTTCTACTCCGGACCTGAAGTAGCGGCGCGGAGTGATATCTTCGCTGATTGTAATATTACAACCAAGCTTGCTTAGGGCACGGACTCGCTCTTCTGGGCTGAGGGAAACATCCGTATGGTCTGGCATAGCAGCTAACTTTTTCTGCAAAGTAAAATTTGAATCTCTGATTATAATAAGAAATGAATATGACTGAAATGACCTGACACCAATACTTAAGGAAAGCTTTTCACAAGAGTTTATATGATAAAAGTGAAGTCTTTTTGCAAAAACACATGATCTACACACCAAAGAGATACACATCTCCAGGTAAATATGGATTTTTATTGAGGTAAGATCTCTTTTAGGTCTCAGTGTACAATTATCTAGCAGTTCCTGGGTTTGAAAACGTTTTTGCAAATGTTTTAGGTGATTTTAGGTAAAATATCATTGACCCTTATGTCCTCATGGATGTTTCCATCCTGGGCCATGTGAAGCTGGCCCAGAGAAGGATTCCTGCCAGGCTAGAGCTCATGTCATTCTACTCTGCACGGTCTCCAAGAGATAGCTTGGATTCAGAGTTACTGTAAGGATTCTATTCTATTCCAGAATACATCTAGTTTAATAAGAAACTTTCAGGACCTCCCTGTATCTTCACCAAGTGAATAAAACTCTACCAATAAGCCCTGGAGAAGCCTTTCCAAGCATATGGACACCTATCTCTTTTTTTTTTTTTTAACATAAAAAGACTCTCAGACCTCCACATAATATAAACTGCACTGTTAATTCATCCCCGAGTGAAAAAATGATAATAATTACTAAGAAAAAAATCAGTGATATTAATTAATATATTTGTATTTTCTTAATAAAAACAGCATCTGTAGGGGCTGGCTCCATGGCCAAGTGGCTAGGTTCGCACACTCTGCTTTAGACGCCCAGGATTTCGCTGTTTTGGAACCTGGGTGTGGACATGGCACCGCTCATCAGGCCATGCTGGGGCGGCCTCCCACATGCCACAACTAGAAGGACCCACAACTAGAGTGTGCACCTACGTACTGGGGGGCTTTGGGGAGAAAGAAAAAAAAGAAGATTGGCAACAGACGTTAGCTCAGGTGCCAATCTTTAAAAAAACCAAACAGCCAGCATCTATACATATTTGGAGAAACACAGAACATAAACATTCAGGATAATTATTCAATTATTCAGTAAAAAGTTGGTGCTTCAAAAAGGCAAAAAAGGCAACAAATATTTTTTGGTTAAAGGCCCTATAGCAAATATTTCAGGCTTTGCAGGCCACACAGTCTTGGTTGCAGCTATTCAGCTCTGCGAGCGTGAAAGCTGCCATAAACAATATGTAAACAAACGATCCTGACCGTGGTCCAAAACTTTCTATTTACAAAAACAAGCAGTTGAATTTGGCCCTCAGACCACAGTTTGCTGATTCCTGCTTTAGACCAGTGCTTCTCAAAGTATGGTCACTGTACCAGCAGCATCGGCATCAACTGGGGATCTCTTAAAAATACAAATTCCTAACAGGCCCCACCTTAGATCTACAGGCTCAGAATCTCTGGAGGTGGGCTGGGAATTTTAACTGGTTTCCTAAAGGGACTTAACCCACGTTATAGTTTGGGAAGCACTGCTTGAGACCACTCTACCATCCTCTGATGCTCCAGGAACAGAAAAGTTAGCCCAGAGCAGATTTAGCTTCCCAAGTCCCCTTGAGTCACTGAGGGTAGATCGCAAGGCTGACTACAATGTGGGCAGAGCTTAATTTGATTACGGTCTACAGAAGGTTAAAGAAGAAATCAAGGTAGACATAGTTTTAGTCTGGCCATGAATTACCGCACCAACCGTCATGGGCAGGGTGGGGTGAATTAGATAGCTGCGGTTTTTCCAAAGCTATCTGGTCTACTTTGGTGGTAATTTTATACCAGATAGAACCCTAGCGACCTGGAATGATTCCTGCTTCTTAAAGTTTAATATATAACCAGAGAGCCATAAACGTGCTTCTCAAGGCCCCATTAAGTCAGAAGCAGGCCATGCCTCTTTACCTTCTATTACCCCTTTGACCCGGCCTGCAGCAATTGGGCAAGTCCTCCTCCCTGTTTCTTTCTCCCCAAGGAAGCTCTCAGGCCTGGGCTTCCTCGCCTTGAAGGTCTCCAGCTACCTCCTGTGATGGGGTAGGCAAGCCAGTTCAATTTAGAGCAGAAGGGACAAGAAGACTCATCAATCTCCCACTTTCTCCAGGTCCAACTTACAAAGAATAAAGGGCACACTTGATTCTGATCCTCACCTGGTGCCTTAAACCTATTTTCACTTGGTCCAGAATTGTGAGATCAGAGAGATGTGACCGGCAGCAACACTAACACTCAGACCCTTCCTAAGTGACTCTATCATAAAGGAAAGCACTCTTCCTTCTATCCAAACCGTGTTGTGCTGCTCTCCCAATTCTCTGAAAGCCTTTCTAAATTCAGAGAAGCTGTTGGAGGCTTCCCCGCAACAGAGCAGGAATGGGACCTCGTGAACTCTGAGCCTCGGGCCTGAGTACACTCTGTCTTTTCCAACTGAGAAGTCTCAGACACCACAGCAACACATCCACTTCTCCCCGTCGCACTCGCCTGTGGAGCTCAACAGCTCTAAGGGAAAATATTGTTACTCGACCACACACACATGCTTCAATGACATCAGAAAATGACTGGGAAAAAAAAATTCTATGGAAATTAGGGCATTTTCTAAAGGGGGCTTCCAGTCTCCTGTATGCACAAAAGTAATCTGTCCATTTTTTATGACACTACACTACACCCTGAATTATATTTGTGTACAAGTGTTTTCAATTCCTCGTGAACTCCTGAGGGAAAGGAACAATCTTCCATTCATTCCTGTTCTCTAGGATGTAGCATATTCCCTGCAACACAGATGATAATCAATAAATGCACCAAATAGAGGAGGAAGAGAGAAAAGGGAGCAACATGATTATAATTAGGTTATTTTTTTATCTGAAGATAAAAATAAGATTTATTTTTCCTTTACTGAATGATCCTATCCTTCCCAAATTTATAAATGATTTCAGAGATAAACTGGGAAATAGCCTAAAGTCTTCAGCAATCTCTAATGTTTCATTTGCATGTGAGGTTCTCAGATGAAAATACAAAATTTCCAGATGAAAAAGCCTTAGTGTTCCTTTTTACATTGACATGTCCACTAAAATTTTAATTATTCCTAAATAATGTTCCAGAAAAACACAGAGGACACTCCCTAAGGATAATTCTTTCCTCTGCAGAGGTGGAAATGGGGCAGCCTTTATTATTCCACAGGTATTATCCCAACAACATGGGGTCAGAAAGTGAAGAGGTTCCCACAATCCTCTGCTCTTCAAACATCCTCTCAAAGCAACTGAGCTTCAGTGAAGGACTTTCTTGGTAGACAGAGAACATTGGGTCAGAACTTCTTCAGAGCAAGAACCAGGCCCCTATGTCTTTGTGTTCTGGTGCTAAGCTTTGTGTGTAGAGGGTATTCAGTATACTGCTGCTCTCAGGGTTTCCCTCAGGGTTGCAGTGACTGGGTTGGGGAGGGCTGCCAGCAGGAGGGTAATGGTAATGGCAGCTTCCATTTCTCAAGCCCCCGTGACAGGCTAGGAATGTTAAAAAATATTGTTTCCAATTATCATAAGGTACAAAGTACACAAACAGGGCCATGGAGATTACTAATGTGCCTACATTCACACTCAAAGACTGATCTGAGACACAAAATAAGCCCACGTGACCCCAAGACCTCTGTTATTTCCTCTCCAGCATCTTATAAGATGTCACTAGAGAAAGCGTGCACCACGTTGGGCTGAAAGGGAAAAAGTGAGAAGAACCAGAGTTTCAAATATGCAGACATTTCCACAGGATCTCAAAGCAACATTTAGGTGTTAAATAGAAAATATTTTCCTTGGTCATTGTCACACAAGGTAAGTCTCCCATTTTTATCTGTAAACAAGCTGAAGCACAAAGAATTTGAAGCACCTGCAACAATGTCAACTCTGAAATTCTTCTCTCCATGTTCTGCTAAAGGACTACACTCCTGGAATCTACCCAGATAAATTAAAGTTTCACACTTTGTGGAAAAAAATTATTTTTAATTCTAGCAAAGATGGCTTTATTAGTCACTTCCTCATAGAAGAGGACCACACAGATGGATGAAAAAACGACAAGTGCTAACCCTCTTGAAGTAAATGTGACTCATTTCACATTTGGTGTGTTTCTGTTCTTCTTTTTGGGTTTTCCGACCATATGTAAAATATCAGTTGGTGCCACCTACCAGAGAATTCAGAGTAAAAGGCTGATCCATGGTGTCCTGTCTACAAAATGAAGATGTTCACTGTTTCTTCTCAATCACTTCATCTGTTTCAAAGACAAAAAGCAGAACTAGTGTTATTTTTTGAGAACTCGAGTCTCAAATCCCAAACCCCAGGGTTATTTCTACCTTAGAGAAACATGAACAAATTGAAATAACTTATGTAATCTGAGGTTTTAGAGAGACTGTTGGAAATCTCTTCATGAAAATACAAAACTGCAGGTGGCTATGGTTTCTTGAAGCAGCCCTTTAGAAGTGGAAGTTTGAAGAGAATTAATTATTGCTGAGCACCCAGGATGAGCCTGCTGGGTGTTATCTTACTTAGATATCTATGCCAGGTTATTAGGTGGGTTTGCTTTCTTCAGAGGGAGAAAGAGCACAGCAGTTAGGAGCATGGACTTTGAGACCTAGAATCAATCTGAGCTTAAACTCAGCCCTACTAGCTGTGGGAGGCAGAACTCTAAAATGGCTCTGTGTTTCCTGCCCCTTAGTATCCACAGGTTTGTGTAATCCCCTCCCCTTGAGTGTTGATGAGACCTGTAGCCGGCTTCTAATCAATAGAACACAGCAAAGGCAATGGGACATTACTCTCATGTTTATGTTACGTCATATGGCAAGAGTGAAGAGATCTGGGAGACATATTCAGACCTCTAATCAGTTGACATTAAATGAATCAAAAGGAAGCTTATCCCAGGTGGGCCTGACCTAAGCAGGAGAGACCTTTCAAGGAGGGAGACACTCCCCTGCTGGCCTTGGAGACTCAGCCACCATGAGCTCCACAGCTGCAGGGAAATGAATTCTGCCAATAATCATGTGTGCTTGGAAGAGGACCCTGAGCCTCCCGTGAGACTCTTACCCTGGTCGACACCTCCATTGCTGCCTTGCGGGACCCTGAGCAGAGAACCTGGTTATGCTGTGCCCAGACTCCTGACCCGAAAAATGTGAGATAATAAACGTAGCTTGTCTTTAGGCATGAAGCTCGGGGTGATTTGTAAAGCAGCAACAGAAAACTGAAACGCTAGCTGTGTGACTGCCGGTAAGTTATACAGTCTTTCTGTGCGTCTGGAAAATGGGGGAAATAATAGTACCTGTGTCATGCAGTTTGGTAAGGATTAAATAGTTAGCAGATAAAGTGCTTAGAATAGTTCCTAGTACTAGTCATTAGGTAAATGTTAGCTATTATTAGAATCTTTATTTTGCAGTTGAAGAAACTGAGGCTTGGAGATGTTAAGTGAATGTACTCAAGTCCCAATAGTCACTCAACAAACGTTAGCCTCTTTCCTTTTATGCTAGTTGAGGTCAAGCTCGGTATCACCACTTCCCACTTCTTCTAAATTTATTTTGGCCTTTATATTCTACTAATCACTGATGTGGTGTTGGACACATATCTTCTCAGTTCCTCATTTATGAAGTGAGAGGGTTAAGCTACATTCTTTTGAGTTATAACATTTTATGATTCTAGAAATCTCAGAAGTAGACCATTCAACCCTTCCATGCTATCTTCTGGCCTGCATCCATGGCTGAGAGCCCCTTCAAGGAAAGTCACTCGGCGTGTTCCAGTATTTCCCCTTCGTCCTCCCCAGTGATCCTTCGAGTAAACAGAGAACTAAGCTCGCAGGTTGCAGAAACGCCCACGAAAGCCATGACCTTGAGAGAGCCACAGTCACGGTGTAGTTCAAAACCCAAATTAATTCTGGAGCCCCTGAATGTAGGCAATCCCCTCTGGGGAATTACCACTTCTCAGTGAGAAGAAAAAACCCCAGAAAATAAAAAGACATTTGAAGAGTTAAAGAGACAGAACAAAGAAGCTTATGGGGGAATTTGTGGCAAGAGGGAGAGAAGGGGAACAAGGAAATACTGGTTAGTCATTGATTAGGGTATCATAAAAGCCTATAATTATTTCTTTTTGGGGTTGCTCAGATCCTTAGAGAAGAAATAATTTAAAAAGTTGGAAATATTAGAACAGCAGTTCTTAAATTTTACTGTACCTGAGAATCATATAAACCTGACACTTGTCTAAAATGCTGATTCCTGGAACTCACCCACAAGGATTCTAAATCCATCAGTTTTAAGCCCTCCAATGGGCATTAATTGTTAGGCTGTGGCCCAGGTGATTCTGATACATGAGAGACACCGCATTTGAGAACGTGTCAAGCAGGATTCTTAGTTGCAAGCAAAGGCACTGATTCTTAAATTCATAGAATAATGGAAGGATCATGTTTCCAGGAAGGCCAGAGAAATTGGGCTCAGAGGTTATGTATCCAGGATCATCACCCAAATCACACAGAAGCACTAATTTGCCGGGCAGAGGAGCTGGCAGTTTCCACCCCTAACCAGCTGCTGCCCTGGAATCCACGTGGAACTGCCACATATTTCTTCTTGTCACTAGTTTCTATTTCAAAGTATCAGACGGTGGTGTCTGACTAGGTCACACGCCTGCAGCCTGGCTGCAAAGGTGGCTGAAAAGGCAAATATCCAGCCCTTTGACACTTCCATAGGAGGCAGTGGGATATGCCAAGTGAGAAAAGGTAGATTCAGGGCTGGGGGGCCAAAAACAATGGTAAGTGTGCACAAAAATCAAACAAACTTCTCTGTAATGAGCTTCTAAATGTATAAAATGTTTAATTCAATACATCTTAAACACCAGAATTTATTAAATTGCTATAGATGAAAACCAATCACTGTTAACTCCCACATGTAAACTTATTTATAATTCAGAAAGAGAAAGCAACTCTCCTCAAATATAGGATGAAAGAAGCTTACAGATTGGTTGACTTATTTTTTGGACCATTAACTACTCAATGGCAGTGGTCCTCAGTTAATTCCTTTATTTGTTAATCCTCAGTCCTAGCACTTACCAGCTGTGATATAAACAATTACCAAAGGCAACATAAACAGGTTATGTTCTCTAGATTGGTGGTTGTCAAAGTATGGTCCAGGGTCCCCAAGATCCTTTAAATGGGTCTGTGAGGTCAACATTATTTTCATAATATTACTAAAACATTATTTGCTTTTTTACCATCAATCTCTCAAAAATGTAGAGTGGAGATTTCCAGAGGGTGCAGGTTAATGGAATGTTTACTTGCATATTCTTGTAAATGCCTGGTTTAACTTTTAATAGGTAAATATAAATAAATATAACCCACATAAACAAAGCTTTTTAGTGTCCTAAATTTTTTTTTTTTTTTTTTTTTTTTGGTGAGGAAGATTGGCCCTGAGCTAACATCTGTCACCAAGCCTCCTCTTTTTGCTTGAGGAAGATTGTCACTGAGCTAACATCTGTGCCCATCTTCCTCTATTTTGTATGTGGGACACTGCCACAGCATGGCTTCATGAGTAGTGTATAGGTCCATGCTCAGGATCTGAACCCCAGGCCGCCAAAGCGGAGTGTGTGAACTTAACCACTACGCCACTGGGCCAGCCCCCTTAGTAATTTTTAAGAGTGTAAAGGGGTCCTAAGACCAAACAGTTTGACAACCACAGCTCTAGATCAACTCTGCGAACAAATAAAACAACATAGAAACTCACTAAGCTATTTCACACTAACCAGAAATATCATAGGCCATGTCAAGTACCACTTTCCATTTGTGCTACTAGGCTCTTGCTAAAATAATTAGAAAACTGAGGGTACAGTGAGACGTACCCCACCTCACAGAACCTGAGCCCCACGAGAGCAAATGCAGCAGACTATGATATATTCTGCAATACCCATTCTCTTTTTCTAATATAGAAACAGAATTTTCAGCTGATATAGAGTCACCAAAAAAGCCCCTACATTTTCCAGCCTTTCTTGGAGCTAGATGTGGCTATGTCACCAAGCTCTGGCCAATGGGGTGAGAACAGAAGTACTGTGATCAAAGTCTGGATCCTGCCCTTTAAAGGCAGGGACACAGTCTTCTCGGCCCAGCCCTTCCCTTCCTGCCAACTGGAATGAGGGCGCACAGGTGTGCCATCTTCAGTCATGAGGATGAGCCACGCATGGCAAAGCAGGAAGAGAAAAGGAGCGCTCTAGTTTGCTCAGACCATTTTGACAGTGACAAATTTCTATCTCATCTGATCCTGTGTCTTTGTTTAGGCAGCTGGGCCTGTTGTATCCTGACAGCTGCAATGCGTTTAACCTAGAAAGGATGACTCAGTGTGGTCCAGGAGAGACTACTGTAGGCACTGATAAGAAAACAGATATCCTCCGTCACCTCCACACCCCTCAGCACCCTGCCTGTCCTGCCTCCACACCTCCGCCCCAGTACAAAGAGTAACAGAAACATCCTCCTCCCTCCTTTCCTCCCCACAGCTCGCCCAAATCCTGCCCAGCCTGGGAGATCCCGCTTACCCATCTAGAAGTTTCAGACTTCTTCAGAATCAATACCACATACTTCAAACTAGCAGGTAATATAAGCTACAGCCCCAAAGGCAACATTTGGTTGTTACAAATGTTTAGTTTGGTTGTTATAGTAAATTTAAAATTTTTAAGTTAGTTACCAACATTTGAAAATTGGGAGATTTCATATAAAAATTCAAATTTCTGCTTCTCTTAAAAAAAAAATCATCACTCATATGTGGAACATAAACACATAAAGAGAACAGATTAGAGGTTACCAGAGGGGAAAGGGGTTGGGGGTGGGTGAAAGGGGTAAAGGGGCACACATATATGGTGATGGATGAAAATTAGACTGTTGGTGGTGAGCACGATGCAGTCTGTACAGAAACTGATATATAATAATGTGCACCTGAAATTACACAATATTATAAACCATTATGACCTCAATAAAATAACTGAAAAGAAAAAAAAGTCAGAGGGTCTGGCACACGGGGCCCAGTACCTGGAACATTTATTTGCCATTATTTATCTTTTATCCTGAGTTTAGAGCAGTGTCTGCTATAGAATAAGGACTCAATATGTATTTGTTGAATGAATGAATGAAGAAGCGTTTCTCTTAAAGTCTATAGTATACTTCCCATCACATTCCCAGACAAATACAGAAGCTTAGTAAATACTTGGCTCTAGATCAGTGCTAAAATATGTCCCCCAAATGCACAGGCCTTCAAG